TTTACACGAAAAACTCACACGAACACCCATGAAGCTGCCTTAAACTGAATCAGTCCGTTGGTCCATGAATGTCAGTCTACAAGATAACAACTCAGCCCTACCCCACCTTCCTGAGTAGATATGAATTACCTGCCTACCATGTGTCTTCTCACCTTGACACAGAGAGAACTCCATCTTTCTGCATTATACCTCTGAGGATGCCAGTCACAGCTGCTGGCGAAAATGTCAGGTCCTACAATGCCAAGACCACGGCTACACAACCCGGAAAATCTACAACAGCTAATGTCGGTCTTGTCTACTCAGGTTGGCAGCAGCTCTCTAGAGTCTCAGGCTGAGGTCTTCCACGTCACCTATCACCTGATCATTTCAAATGGAGACATTAGGGATCGAACCTGTGACCTTCTGCGTGCCAGGCAGATGCTCTGCGACTCAGCCACAACCCCTCTGCTCCCCCCCCCCGGACTCTGGTGGGGGGACGTTGGTGCTTTGGGCACTGCTTGCTGCGACACAGCAAAGATGCGCCGTAGTCTCCGAAAGATTTTTATGGGAAGTGTTATGTATTCATTTATTGATACTGCCTATTGATTAGGTGTGATCCTATGAAACCTGTAGTTACTTATATGCAATGCTTATGTAACCTAAGCGGGACATTGCTTAAGGAACACAAGCCTAAGCTTCAGACACAAACTCCACTGATTCTGGGTATCCTGAAAGCTGCAACAGGATTGGTCGGTGTCGGGAAGCAGACCAATCCAAACGAACCCTGACTTCGGTGGGAACAATTCCCATTGGTCCCAAGCGCTGTTTGTTCATTGGCTGCTAGCTGAATTAGAGGTGTGGTTTTAGCAGTTCAAAACGTATAAAAGTTAGTTTGTTCTGTGTTATGTTGTCCTGTGTCAAGTTATGAGCTGAATAAAGAAATCACTGTTTATGAAAAGCTGCCTCGATCTCAGTTCATAATAAGAAGCTCGTTTCAGGAGGTGGAAAATTTGAGCGGGTGGGGTGGGGGACCTTTTCCCAATGGAAAACTTTCACACTCAACACCCTTCCACACACACACATTAGTTTTCCCTCCACAGGAAAAAAGACACAGATCCAAGTCAAGGAGACCTTCCCTGGTACTGTTCCTCAGCTCAAACATTCACCCGTCCAATGTATCTGGCGATTTAAAGGTGTGTGTGTGTGTGCCATGATCCTGGGCCTAAAGTGCTGCGGCCTACAGGCTCTAGGGAGCCTAGTGGCTCCAGGGAAGCCTGTATTGGAGTAGCTATTGGAGCCTACATTTCCCAGGTTCCCTCTGGACCTTGTGACTGGCTAACGGGATTTGGATGGAACACTTTCACCTGCAGAGGAGTAGAGGGTGCTGCTTGGGAAAAAGGAATAAGGGTGGGGGCTCTCTGGGCCCTCCCAAGGAGACCCCTACCAGAATGGTGGCAGCCATTAGAGAACCTTCCTAGCAGCTGCCCAAGACAAGGAGGGAGAAAATCAGGTGAAAGAGAACACACAGCTTATTTGACCGGGCATTTTGTTTTTGCTTCCATTGTTTCTTGGGAGCCTTCTATGTGCCAACCAACAGCATTTTGACAAGCTGCAGTGGGCAATCCCCATCAAGAGTCCAACTTGGGGACCCCCGCACCAAGGGTTCATATGAGGAAATAGGGTGCTGAGTACGTGTGCCCAAAACAGCACGAATGATGCCTCCGTGGCCAAGGATAAACTACAACATGAGCACGTTCCATTGCCCAAGAAATTAACCGCAACATGAGGTCTATACCAGGAGTGTCAAACTCATTTGTTATGAGGGCCGGATCTGACATAAATGAGACCTTGTTGGGCTGGGCCATGTGTGTCATAAAATGTAATGCCAGGTAGCGGAGATATAAACTTTATAAAGGATACAGACACAAAGAGTTTCTTTTTTATTTAAAACAAAAACATGCTTAAAACATTAGCACTCTTGCAATATTTTGTTTATTTAACAGTGTCTGATAACTGACACCTCTTGCTCTGAATTATTGCATCAAAATATGGGAAGAAGCAGAAGACAGCCAGTCCCACTGTGGGCCTGATAGAAGCCCTCCGGGGGCCTGATCTGGCCCCTGGGCCGCATGTCTGACACCCCTGGTTTATACCATGATGCAGAGTTCAATGTTTCCAATGTTATAAAGTTTAACACGATATCAAAATCTGCTATTATGACTGTATGTGTCTTGTTTCTGTGCACATAGCACACCGGCTTTTCTTTACTACTAAATGTGCGTTTTCTACTTTTATTTTTCCCAACCTCTCAGATGACAAAAAGCTAAGACACGTGTGTCAAGGTAGTGCCGGGCGCAGCAGTTTCCAGCTTCCTCTCTCCGGTATCAGGTCTCTCTGTAATTCTGGTTATAGAAAACTACTTTTAAATGCCATGAACATACTGCTCCCAAATAAAACCTGTATATGCTGAGTTACGAATGATACATTTTGCATTGTTAAAGCAAAACAATAAGTAGAGGCTTGACATGAAAATGAATATTGCATATATTTGTTTTTACCGAAATGTTATTTTTCCTTTGGGGGGGGGGCAGAAATGGGAAATGCATTTCCCCCCCACCCAACAGGTTCAAAACTTCCAGCAACCTGACATCTCCAGATACCCACCTTTGCTGCTGTCCTCTCCCAAGTTCTCAGGACATTCTTCACGGAGACACTCTACTTCTGGAGTTACCTCAGTAGCGTCAGTCCCATCTAACAAGCAGATAATAAAAATGTAAGCCACCCTAGAGCAAAATCCTAAAATGGATCAGTGAAACCATCCTTTTAAAACAAAGTGCTGATTTCTCTTTTTCTTTCGGTTCATCAAATGCAAATAATGCTGCTGCCAGGGAAAAACAAATACACAAACTAGTGTCCTATATTTGATGAGTCGAGAGATAATTTAGTCACCCCTTTACTTAGAGATATGGAACTGCTAAATGTGCGAGCCCAGGTGTCATGGCTGCTATCGGATACCAATGCTTGTGTCACCCTCTCAGTGGCAAAATTCATAGGCGCAGTAATCAAATATAAGAGAAATAATACTAAGGTCTTTTAAAATATTTTCTTTGGTTCTGATTTCTGCTTAAGGTGATGGCCGTATGAGCAGTACTAGGTAGATGGAAATACACAAATTAGAAAATAAATTCATGTACTAATTTAGAAATGAATTATTTTATTGGGGGCGGGGCTGTGGCTCAGTGGAAGAGCCTCTGCTTCGCACATAGAAGGTCCCAGGTTCAAGCCCTGAATCTCCAGTTAAAATGACCAGGCAGTAAGTGATGTGAAAGACCACAGCCTGAGACCCAGCCGGTCTGAGTAGACAATGCCAAACCTGATGGACCAAGGGTCTGATTCAGTATACAGGAACTTTATGTGAATTCATGTGTGCATCCCAAGGTCAGTCCCTGGCATCTCTAGTTAAAAGGGCCAAGCAATAGAAAAGAAGAAGAAGAGATTGGATTCCACCCTTTGCTATTCAAAGGAGTCTCAAGAGGGGCTTACCATCTCCTTTCCCTTTCCCTCCTGCAACAGAGACTCTGTGAGATAGGTGGGGGCTGAGAGAGCTCTCTCGAGAACTGCTGGTGAGAGAACAGCTCTGAGAGAACTTATACCTGACCCAAGGTCACACCAGCAGCTGCATGTGGAGGAGTGGGGAATCAAACCCGGTTCTCCCAGATTAGAGCCCGTGCTCCTAACCACTACACCAAACCGGTTCTCGTGATGTGAAAGACCTCTGGCTGAGACCCTGGAGGGTTGCTGCCAGTCTGAGTAGACAATACTGACCTTGATGGATTGATGGTCTGATACAGTATAAGGCAGCTTCATGCGTATTACAAAAGGTCAGCCTTTTATCATCTGAGGCTGGCTAGGCAACTAGTTCCCTACCTTGCCTGGCAGGACTTGGCAATGGTGATCCATGCAATGGTCACTTCCAGGATTGATTACTGTAACTCACTCTACACGGGCCTACCCATGAACTTGATCTGGAAACTCCAGCTGGTACAAAATGTGGCGGCGCGCTTGCTATTTGGGATGCCTGCACAGGCGCGCATTCAGCCAGTGTTGCGCCAGCTGCCTTGGTTGCCAGCTGAATACCAGATCAGGTTCAAGGTCATGGAGTTAACCTTCAAGGCCTTTTGCGGCCAGGGACCAACATACCTGCGGGACGGTCTCTCCTCATATATGCCCTGCAGAGCCTTGCGCTCTGCTGACCAGCACTAGAATGATAAATGGATTGGAACACTTTCCCTATGAAGAAAAGTTAAAACGCTTGGAGCTCTTTAACTTGGAGAAATGACGGCTGAGGGGTGACATGACTGAGGTTTATAACATTATGTATGGGATAGAGCAGGTTAAGAAAGAAGTACTTTTCTCCCTTTCTCACAATACAAAAACTTGTGGGCCCTCAATGAAATTGTTGAGTGGTCGGGTTAGAACAGATAAAAGGAAGTCCTTCTTCACCCAAAGAGTGATTAACACATGGAATTCACTGCCACAGGAGGTGGCGGCAGCTACAAACATGGGCAGCTTCAAAAGGGAACTGGATAAGCATATGGAGCAGAGGTCCATCAGTGGCTATTAGCCACAAGGTATAGATAGGAACTCTCGGTCTGGGGCAAGGGATGCTCTGTATTCTTGGTGCCTGGGGGTGGTGGGAACAGTACGAGGGCTCCTAGTGTCCTGGCCCCATTGCTGGTGGACCACCTGATGGCACCTGGTATTTCTGGCCACTGGTGACAGAGTGTTGGACTGGATGGGCCATTTGGCCTCATCCAACATTGGCTTCTTTTATGTTCTTATGTTCTTACGGTTGGTAGTCCCTGGCCAGAGAGACATCCATCTGGCCCCGGTCCTGGTGGAACATACTCCCAATTGCTCTTTGGGACTTGTTACAATTCTGCAGGGCCCGTAAAATGTAGCTGTTCCTCCAGGCCTTTGGTTAATGCAGCAGATGTCCAATAACATTAGCCTCCCCTGCACTGGCAGCCCATGGCGTTTGTATATAAACTGTCGCTGGGAGTGGCCGACCTGACACATCTTGATCAATGTTCCCTCTAAGCTGTGGAGTCTTGTGAGCAAAAATTCTACTTTGTGATTTACAGACATTAAAGTTGTGAGTGAGCTATTTGGCTACTGCATAAATTAGTTTGTTCTGGAGCCCTCCTTCCTGAGCTAAGGCAAAAATCTGTGAGCCAGACGCTAAAAAACTGTGAGCTAGCTTACACTAACTCAGCTTAGAGGGAACACTGATCTTGATCCATCGCTCATTCTAGCATGGAGTCAGTGTGCTTTAGTATGTAATCAATAGCTACACTGTCAGTTAGGAGACCCAGAATGGTATGTAGATTATCTAATACTTTCATTATTTTAATACGTTACTTCTTAACGATTATTTAATGTTTTAAGCTACTGCTGTCTCGTGAGCCCGCTCATAGGGTAGGGCGGGATACAAGCCACAATAAATATATAAATAAAATATTAGGTTATCTATCATCTGCCTTTCTTGCTGAGACTCAATAAATAACCATCTCCCAGGCAAGAGCTCAAGATTCTGGTAGGGAATAACAGGAAAAACAATTCGCATTTCTATAGCGCTAATCCCCGTAACAGCCCTGTAGTGTAGGCCAGTACAATCATAGTGAAAGAGGGAAGCAGAGAGACAGGGGATTCCTTAAGGCCACCCAGGGCTGTTCTATTGGCCACCATGCATGCCAAACAGGGGCTGAACTAGGGAGATGGCAACAGGGCGTGATTTGTACACAGCATCCTGATAAAACTGAAAGCAAATCTAGGAAGTTAAGAGTCTTTCTCTACCTTAAAGTATTGTGTACACCATTGTTCCCTCTAAGTTGAGTTAATGTGAGCTAGCTCACAGTTTTTTAGCCTCCAGTTCCTGAGTCTTAGCTCAGGAAGGATGGCTCCAGAGCAAACTAATTTATGTAGCAGCCAAATCGCTCGCTCACAACTTTAATGCCAATCGCTCACAAAGTAGAATTTTTGCTCACAAGACTCCACAGCTTAGAGTGAGCATTGGTATACACTACTGTACACACAAATCCAGATTAATCTTGCATTGCTTACAATTTATCAACCATCACAACGTAATTTAGATGCAACATACAAACAAGATGCATCAAAATGTTCTATAAATGCACCCTCCTGAGAAGGAAAGCATATAATTTGGATCCCTCAAGTTTGCAGCTGAAGCTGTTCACTGCCATTGTTTTTGAGCCCTACAGCAAATAAAACAATTCTATACGTAACAAAACATCGTCGTGTCCTACAACAGAACAGATTAACAGAATCGGACCAACCGTGGTAAAAGACCAACAGGGCAGAGAAGAAATCTTTCTCTGAAGTCATTCTGAAAAGGACAATCCAAAGTTTGACATTCAGTATATTGTGGAGATATGCCTTTTCCCTTATATCTCAGCAACGAAAAGTGCTACAGACTTACTTTTTTGAAAAATTAAAGCTTGGATCACAGAGAACCTGTTATTGTTATAATGTTACATTGCCATAGTGATATTCAGCTGCTGATTTTAAACAGACCCACAGGGATGGGGCGGAATTGGTTGTTGTGGGGAAAATGGTTCCATGTGGGCCCAGGAAAAGCTGGACTTTCTGGGCCACATAGCAGCCATCCAGGCTTTGCTGTGATATTATCCAGAACTCCAGAGCAACGCAGGCTTGGGAAAAGCAAAGGAAACCCAGGATGTGCACTAATGCTGTGAGGAAGCAGACACCCCCCCAAAACAAACCAGCTTCGCAACATCATCAAACCTGGGGCAGACAATCCATGCAGAAATGGCTGTAGATTTCACAGTGGTGGCCACACGAAAGAGAGACAACCTCTCAAAAATGAGAAGATTCTATAATGGCAAAGGCATCACACAACGCTTTTCACAACAGTCGCTCAGCAGCTCCTTGCCAGAGTCTCTGTCTGAAATCTTTTTGTTGACTTCTGGGGTCAGCAGCAGCCCTTCCAGAGAGATTATTGGTACTTCTGGAAATGGCATCCCTAGAAGCAACTGTGATATTCTTTTTTGCAGTGTTTACATGAAAACTCATTCTTCCTCCCAATTCTGAAATGTGTACTTTTTGGGTGGCGGTAGTCTTCCATTGTCACAAAGGTAAACATACATCTGAGTCAATGGGCTATAGTTGGAAGCTCTGACATGCTTACCTTTACATTCTTGAGACTTCCTTTTCCTTTTGAGGTTGAACTTCCCTTTCCTTTTGAGGTTGAAGCAACCTTAAAGAAAAGGAGGGGGGGATTATATGTTCAGACATCTGCTCCAAAATCTACATTGTTCATTCTTTGCACGTGTAAGCTTAGAGAGCCAACCACGTTCATGGCAGGATCAGGTGATCAATTAAATCAACAGTCTGGAAGGGATGAGAACTCCTTATCCCTCTTAGTTTTTTTTTTTTTAAATTTTATTAAGAATAATAGTGAATTGCTGTTACATATTTCAAAAAACCAAATATAAACATTAAATAACAGGAAGTACGAACAGAGACAATTGCAATTCGATAATAGCAATAAGGTGATATCCCTCTTAGTTGCTGTTCCTTCCAAACTCGGAGTCCTCTGTATCAGTGCATCCCAACCTTTCCGGTATGGTGACACACAAGTCCAAATTTACTTTGTACAGCGACCCATCCTGGGCTGGCCCAAGGAGTTTTGGGTCCCTAGGCAAACCATGACTGTGGCACCCGTCTGCTCCAGCATTCTGTTTTCCACTGTACCAACCAGTTGTTTTTGAGAAACCAACAAACAAGACACAAAGATTGCAGCTGCCCCCAAAATGAACCCCAAGCAAGTGGGAGTTCATCTCCTCCTCCTCCGTTAGCTGGGCCAGAACTGGAGTTTGAGGAGGTACACATGGGAGGGGGTGGGTGCTGGGTTGAGGAGATACACAAAGATGGCAGATGGTGGAGGAGGAGGAGGAAGAGACTGGATTTATACCCCGCCCTTCACTACCCGAAGGAGTCTCAGCGGCTTACAAGCTCCTTTCCCTTCCCCTCCCCACAACAGGCACCCTGTGAAGTAGGTGGGGCTGAGAGAGCTCTAACAGAAACTGCTCTTTTTCAAGGACAGCTCTGACAGAACTATGGTTTGCCCATGGTCATCCAGCAGGTGCAAGTGGAGGAGTAGGGAATCAAACCCGGTTCTCCCAGATTAGAGTCCGCACACTTAACCACTACACCAAACTGGTGGTGAAGAGGTTGGGAGCAACGGGACCCAGTGCACTTCATCTCCCACAGCAGTTAGAGGGCAGGGAGGCACTGGCAGGGGTCTGGGCAAGAGGTGGGGCTGTTGAAGGGGCAGCCCCAAGACAAAGCCCACGCATAGACATGCCTCTTCCCATGCTCCTCTGGTTTTTCCATGGCACGCTGAACAGCTCCCACCCACTCTCCAATCTTTCTCCCCTTCTTTCAGCTACTACCATGAAGTTGCCGAAGGCCTCCCCCCCATTTTTGTCACAAATGAGCAGGGGGGGGGAAATGAGAATGTGAAAAGCTGGCGAGGAGCAAAGAAAGATAAGGATGCGAAGGCAAGAGCCACCATCTAATTGGCAAATGAAAAATGTAACCCGCACTAGAGCAGAATCCTAAAATGGATTAGTGAAACCATCCATCTAAAAAAAGGTCCTTATTTCTTTTTCTTTCTGTTTATCAAATGCAAATAATGCTGCCGCTTGTGAAGAAAAACAAACAAACTAGAAAATCAATCCATCTACTAATTTAGAAATGATTTCTTTTATTGGGGGAGGGGCCGTGGCTCAGTAGAAAAGCCTCTGCTTGGCATGCAGAAGGTCCCAGGTTCCATCCCCAGCATCTCCAGTTAAAAAGACCAGGTGGGAGGCGATGTGAAAGACCTCAACCTGACACCCTGCCAGCCTGAGTGGACAACAGTGAACGTGAGCTGCTGCCAGCCTGAGTGGACAAGACTGAACTTGATGGACCAAGGGTCTGATTCAGTATAAGGGTTCGTGTGTGTGTCCCACATTCATTCCCCAGCATCTCCAGTTAAAACAACCAGGCAATTGGTGATGAGACCCTGGGGAGCCACTGCATGTCTGTATAAAAGAGGAAAGGCTTATAAACCTACAGAAAGCCAGGATTTGGGTGGCTCTCTTGAAGGGTGTGTGTGTGTATGTGTGTTTATCAATTTACACACACAGACACACATATATGAAACAGCTGCCACCAGAGGAGTAGGTAAGATGCAAGCCTCTCTGAGGTGCAGGCCTCATGCCAGAGATGGAAGAAAATGCGTCTCTTTTGGTTGACAGGAATTGTGACTGAGCCACGGACTGAGTATCACTGGTCTAAGCCCCTTTCATTGTGGAGATTTAAGGGGAAAGTCGCATTCTTGCAATAAGCAAACGTATAAGGGAAAAGACGCATTTTTGCAATACACAGGTCTAGTGACTTATTTTTTCAAAAAGTAGGCTGGAAATTGAGTGACCGCAATCCATAGATCGTTATAACCTTGTAACAATAGATAATTGTTAAAGTTTAAAAGAATTGGGGAAAGCAAAGGGGGGGGGGGATGCTGTCAGGGGAGCAGGGCATAGAAACTACAGGAAAACCTGCCATGTAGAATCCCCCATTCATCATCGTGGCTTCTGTGCAGTCCCACATTGGGACCGCATGTGTGCAGGCCAGCCATGGAAATGATTTCCACAGCCTTCTAGTAGACTAGGAGCATCCCTGCTCCCTCTGGCGCATTTCTGCCAAAACAATCACATGACCAGGAGACGGGGCACTCCTCCCTCAGTTCTCTTTTTGCCACCATGAAGAGAGGATCTCCACTGCTGTCTTCTGATTTGTCCTCACCTCATTCTTGAGGCCGAGGAGACGTCTTAAAGTTTTCGTTTTCACATTAATACCCATTCTAGTGAAGAATAAACTACATTTAAAGAAGAGATGTTTCTGAATTGCCACCATGACATTATGGATCAAAAGGGGCCACCTCAGGATTGTGGCAACTGCAGCTTTAAAATGGCACTGATAAACACCCATCCTCTGTGCTTTCTCTGCCTAGGGGTTCACACAACGGGGCTGCCCGCTCTTTCTGTCACCACTTTCCCCTGAAGGCTTTGGCTGCATGCCAGCCTGAAAAAAGGCCCCTGGTGAGGTGCAGTGTGACAGAGCCTCGGATTTAGAATGGCTCTTTCCTCTAAAGCTTTGGCTGTGCACCAGTCTGCATAAGACACCTCCCCCCATCCTGATGAGGTGTGGTGTGACAGAGCCTCGGATTCACTGGCTCTTTTCAAAGGCTTTGGGTGTGCTAGCACCTCATCTCCTGATCTACGACAGGCTGATCAGACGCTTGGCAGATTCTGCATGGAATTCAAAGAGCCTGGGAATATAACTTTTTTTTTTTAAATCTTGATTTGAACATGTACACCCAAAGAGACGTTCACTGCCAGGATTCTGAACATTTTTTGCCCTGATGCTGGGACAGATTGAAGGTCAAAGAAGACGGGGACGGCAAAGGATGAGATGGTTAGACAGTGTCAGCGATGCAACGAACATGAAATTGAGCCAACTTCGGAGGACGGCGGAAGACAGGAGAGCCTGGCGGGAGATTGTCCATGGGGTCGCGAAGAGTCGGACTCGACTGTGCGACTGAACAACAAATGTGACATTCTGTGAGACCAGCTCTGCTGCTGACTGGTTGAAAGGAACAGTGCCCATTTAGCATGCAAAACGTAATCCAGAAAGGAGAAACACACACCTATTTTCCACAGGAAAAACACCATCCATGCAGTTAAGACTATCGCAAATGCAGTAAATAACGGTGCCCTGCCTCTTCTTTGCGAAACAGCTCCTTAATGAACAAATGTGAAAATATGTTGATTAATAAGCCATGTTAATATAGTCAAAGAATATGCATTTGGATACACAGAAAAAATTATTTATTTATTTCACAACCAATAGGAAAAAACAGAAAAGGGGGGGATTCAAAATCCAACAACTGATAAAAAGGGGGGGGAGGAGAAAAGTATAAGTAGAAACATGAACAACAACAATGGTGGTAAAGTTACCCATATGTTTCTATAAAAGATTTCCAAATATCTAAAAATAAGTACATATGTAGTTGTCATCTCTGTGCCATACGTTCAAATGTTGATAAAGTTATAAGGTCTTCAGTCCATTGATTTACATCTTTCCCCCCAAACATAGGAACAAAACAAAAAAACCCAATAGGTTGGTTGCATTTACTAAACTTTCCTGAAGAACAAAGGGAGAAATTAGCATGCCAGACCCAGGACTGACCTTTAACCCCAAGCTACAGTATGGAACCCATTTTTAACAGACATGCCCTCCTTTTACTTTCTCCTTCTCCCTTCTCACAGGGTCTCTCTGCATTGCAGACATACCAGTACTAAAACAGCCAAACTTTCCCCCCAAGGCATCCTGGGATCTGTAGTATGTGATGTGAATGGGGCACTGGCAAAGAATCAGCATCTGCATTCAATGACTGCTCCTAGGATTTTTAGGGGGAAGCCATCATATTGAAACTACTACAGAACTGGTATAAAACTATGGTTTACTCACACTCCACTCCCCCATCTTCCTATTTTTAAAAAAGCAAATGTGGAAATGCCACAGGGGCCACGCACCATCAGCCAGGGTGCACCTCACTTGCGGACGCCAACCCTCTGGTTGATGAAGACCAATGGAACGCATTTACTGTTTGTCAAGCACAGAGCCCAACCTAAAGGTTTACCTGTTGGGGTACAGTCCCTCAGTCTGATGGACGAGCTGGTGTTTGCATCTAAGACGTGGATGACGCATGTGATGTTCTCCGAAAAGTCTGCATCCTTCTCAAGCCAGATTTCGGAACTGTTTCCCGGAATCTCTTTGTTGCTTTTCTGGTATTTCCACTTGTATGTCTGGCTTATGTTTGCAGCCACATACTGGTCATCTGGTTCACAGCGTACCTGGATGCGATCACCAACAGCTGTGCAATTTAACAGAGGTGGTTCGGGAGGCTCTGTGAACAACAACAAGCAGTTGAAGAGGAACCATGGTGTTGAAAAATGGGGAGAAAATACAATGTCACAGTGTGGGGGAAATTGGGCGACGCATTGATCATCATGGTACTGTCCCAGAATGGCATTTGTTGCCCTACACTATATTGCCTCATCCTGGTGGGCTAGAGCCCTGTCTGCCCCCCAGGCCTCAGAATGGCACCCTAATCCTCCACCTGTCCTAGGAGGGCTCACTTGCTGTTCTCCCTCTCTTCAGGGAGCACACACATCACAGATTTTCTCCCAGAGATTCTTCCTCAACCAGTGTTTAAATAGCCCAGGCCTGCCTCAGCTAGAGATGTGAAGGCCCGGAAAAAAACTGGAAAAATTAGGGGGAAAAAACACTTCCCCCCCCGTTCCCCCCCCAAATTGGAAAAATTGAAAAAAAAAAAGAAATTGATTATGGAACTTTTTTTTAACATGATGAATAAAATATTTTAAGACAAGGTGTTCAAATATTTTCCAAATCATTTCTAAAAAAATATGTATGGTATCAGATTGATCTAATTTCTGTGCACGGAGGACCAGCAAGTCCTAGGTTACAAACTGAACTCTCCAATGCAAGAAAAAGATGCATTTCTTCCTTTAGGAGGTGCTATTGTCACAAGAAAAGAAAAAGGTTTCAGCTTTGTTTTTGCATGTGGGTGGGTATACTGGAACTTAAGCTTCACTAGGCCTCAAAGCATTGGAAGAAAATACAGAGCAACAAAAAGGACCTGAAAGTATATACTTAATTAAAAAAGGTAAGTGTTTTCATTTATCTGATTCCAGAAAACTGAATCATTTAGCTACATTAGTTTATCTTTATAACCTTTGTGTAAATAATAATTTAGTTACTACTAATCTGCTTCTTTACTTCCCCCCACCTACCCACAATAATTGTTTGGCTACACTATATTTTTAAAATGCTAGTTCTGATAATTTCATGCCAAGTAAAATTGTCCATAGTCATATTTTATGTCCCTAAAGTAACAGAATGACTTTCAATATGGAAATTACATCTCTAGCCTCAGCCATTCATAACAGCCTCATGAAACCCTCCCTCCAAGTTGGCCTCTGGCAGTGCCCTAGAGCGCCACCTCTTGGAGACTCGGGACCAATGCTCCCTCTAAGCTGTGGAGTCCTGTGAGCAAAAATTCTACGTTGTGAGCTACTAGCATTAAAGTTGTGGGCAGGTGATTTGGCTACTTTATAAATTAGTTTGCTCTGGACTGGAGCCCTCCTTCCTGAGCTAAGACAAAAATGTATGAGCTGGAGGGTAAAAAACTGTGAGCTAGCTCACACTAACTCAGCTTAGAGGGAACACTGCTCGGGGCTACTCCTGCCCCGCCCAGGCCTCCGCTCAGCTGTGGGGGCATGGCCGCTTTGTCCTGGCACCCACCGCAAACAGCAGTACCGACTGCACCCTCTGCAGCTTCGCTACTGCTCCTGGCCCAGTCCAGGCGGCTTGCATGCCATCCAGGGCAAGGCGAGCTTGTAGGCCTGCCCCAGAAGGCCAGGTGATTAAAACCATTGGACAGAAAGGAGGCATCGTGGAGGGAATGCCAAATGAACCAAAGAAGTCTTCGCCCGCCGGCAGAAGATGGCGACAGGAGGACATTCTGGGCATTTCTGATTATAATGCCATGATGACAACACACACAAAAGCATATGCAATGCAAATAATCACTGCCATTCAATGATTACGATACCTGAAAAAAATAATGGGCATTCAGTAGGGCAGGTATGTCCAACAGGTAGATCGCAATCTACCAGTAGATCGCGGAGGGATCAGAGGTAGATCACCAGCCCCACAGTTAAAGAAAGTTATAACTCAATAAAAAATAAAAAAATGTTCGCAGTTCTTTCTCTGTTTTGTTTTTGCTTATTTTGCTTACCAGTAAATGACAGAAGGTGCATTATATATGGGGGGTGGAACCCAACTTTAATGGGTTAAAATCTAATTTGAAACTAATTTGAAACTTTATTTTCATGGTGGTAGATCACCGGCACTTTTGGCCGGAAAAAATAGATCACTACCTGTTCGAAGTTGGACATGCCTGCAGTAGGGATTCAAAAATAGCAAACACTAAGGAATGACTACAGTCAAACAGGTATGATACACCTTTTCACAGAAAATTACACCCAGAGGAATCCAGGGCAGAGACACTAGATTTGATCTGGCTTAAAACGAAAAGTATGGCCAATAAAGAACGTCTAACAGTACTACTGAAAACAGCAAAGGGCAGCGAGTGGCAAAAGAGAGAGCACAGAAATAGGTTGTGAAGTTGCTGCCGATATGCCAATAAACATCAGGAAAAAGAAAACTGAAACCAGCAATGGTCATCCTGGTGAGCCGGGGGTATGCATTCCTCAGTCACCCTTCAATGGAATGAACAGAGGAAACAGAAATAGACAGAACACCCAGAAGTAATCAAGATTATTTGATCGTGTGACTAAGGGGAATAAAATTTCATTTTTTTCACTTTAAAAAGGGGAGCAGGGTGAGAGAGAGAGCAGACAACTTGAAACTTGGGAAAACACACACACAAGTTATGCTGACACAAACAACAAATTTACTTTTATATTGTGTAAACCACAGCAGTCATGTTATGTATAATTATTATTTTATGCCTATTTTACCACCAACTTCTCTGTGTGTATTCTGGTGATATAAAGACTTTACGTTCCTGGGATCCCAGATCACCAGCAGCCATGAAATTAAGAGATGCCTGCTCCTTGGGAGGAAAGCGATGGCGAACCTAAACAGCATGATAAAAAGTAGAGACATCACCCTGCCAACAAAAGTCCTCATGGTCAAAGCAATGGTATTCCCAGTAGTCATGTATGGCTGCGAGAGTTGGACTATAAGGAAGGCCGAGCGCCGAAGAACAGATGCTTTTGAACTATGGTGCTGGAGAAGACTTTTAAAAAAAAAATTATTGAAAGATATGCAACAAAACAGCAAAGATAAAAAATGCATTACAAGCAAACAACAGAATATGAAGTGAAAACAGAACTATAAAATCCAAGGATAGACAAGTAGTAAACAAGAAGATACCCCCAACACATTCCACAGAATCCATCAACATCAACCCAGAGTGGGATTAACTTCAGCCCTCTTCATGAACAAAAATGGTGATTGAGCCTGAGAAAGTCATGAAGTGTTCTGTTAGCATCTCTATGACCCTTTTTTCATCAGTCAATCCTAAAAGACATCAACCCTGACTGTTCCCTGGAAGGCCAGATAATGAAACTGAAGCTCAAAGACTTTGGCCACCAAATGAGAAGGGAGCACTCCCTGGAGAAGACCCTGATGCTGGGAAAGATTGAAGGTCAAAGAAGACGGGGACGGCAAAGGATGAGATCGTTAGACAGTGTCATAGATGCAAGGAACATGAAGTTGAGCAAACTTCAGAGGATGGCGGAAGACCGGAAGGCCTGGAGGGAGCTGGTCCATGGGGTCGCAAAGAGTCGGACTCGACTGTGCGACTGAACAACAACAACAACTATAGTAAGACCTCCCTGTAAGCACACAATGCCTTATTTATTTTAATTCTCTTAGCATCCCCTGGACTCACCAGGCAGCCCCAGTAACAAAAATCATAATTAATCCAGTGAAAACATTAAAACGCTACCTCTAATTCATTCTAGAGTAAATGAGGAAGAGAAAAGGGGAAAGTGTGGGGGTAGAGAGAAACGCTATTTGAAAAATCCAACAGTAGTTGGAGGAATTCTTCTGTGTGGAGAATTTTTCAAGGCAACTATTGTGCCTGATACACACAGCAGATGGATATTTAAAGAAACATTCCAAATTCTTGTCCCCGGGCAGAATTTTTTTGCTTGCTGGAAATTTCTTATATGGTCTGTGATCTCTTTGGGAAATCCTGAAACAGGAAAGGAGGTCGGTTTCCAGCTCTCCAGTAAAGAGGAACTTTGGCTCTGGCACGCCTTAGCAGATCTTTTTTTAGTAGATAACACAGCCCGTTTAAAACAATCACCCACGGAGGGCCCAGGAATCAGTAGTAGGCCTCTTCTAAGGATCTGTGAGCTCTTGCAATATCCAAAACATATTTCTCCAGTAAGCCCAATATCTCCCTAAGAATAGTCTCTAAGAATGCAACGGTATTTCTGCCTTCCAGTTGGAGACAGTTCAAAATGGGCAGCCGTGTTAGTCTGCAGCGGTTAGGCTACAGCAGCAGTCTATAGCAGGTATCTGAAGAAGTGAGCAGTGACATTTTTACATTTCCAACATTTATCTGAACAATTTTCATTCTGCTTAGCACGCTTATCTGGTGTAATATACCATCTATAAAACATCTTATACATATTTTCTTTATATGATACTGCCTTAGTCATTTTAATATTTTTAGACCATATCTGGTCCCACTCTCTCCAAGTAATATTATGACCTACATTTTGAGCCCACAAAATCATATTTTGCTTAACTGTTTCATCTAACAGCAAATCCTCTAACAAAATTTTATAGATTTTCTTCCGAAACTACAAGAGTTTTTTCTAGTTCAGTTAGTTTGTCATTAAAACCAGTCTTTTTATCTTTATTATAGACAGATTCTAATTGCGTTTTATTCCACCAAAACAAGTGTTCTGGCAATTTCAAGCAATCTTTCTCATCCAAAATATCTTGATATCTAAGCAGCTCTTCACCTGTAAAGACATTTGGCAGGGTAAATGCTTCCAATGGTACTATGAGTCTCGATTTTTTAATATAAAACCTTCTATAAATTGGATCCCATACCAGTTTGGTGTAGTGGTTAAGTGTGCGGACTCTAATCTGGGAGAACCGGGTTTGATTCCCCACGCCTTCACTTGTACCTGCTGATGTGACCTTGGGTCAGTCACAAGCTCTGGCACAGCTGTCCTTGAAAAAGAGCAGTTTGTGTCAGAGTTCTCTCAGCCCCACCCACCTCACAGGGTGTCTGTTGTGGGGAGGGGAAGGGAAAGGAGTTTGTAAGCCGCTCTG